AATGATTTTATACAGAGGAGAGTTACATATGCCATGTCAGTGTTGTAAACGGACATACGTGACTTTCATAAAAACGCTTGCCAAACGAATCATTTGCTGGAACGGAACAAACCCGAAGCACCTAGGTAGAACCACGAAGTTGTTCCACCAGGAGGGAAATCTACACCTATTCGACGGTTCACACGGTCACGTGAAACTAAAGGCGATCAAATCAGGCCACATTAAAGGAGAGCATGAGTGTGTCCATACGATTCTGACAATCAGAGAATGGTCGACGGAAACAATCGCAGACAAAGAAGTTGCTTAAACCGCTAAAGCACAAAATGATGGAATATGCATATAACACGCGGTAGTCGGAGAAACAAGTCTCCGGGTCGTTACTAGTCTGTTTCATCTCGGAAGAGAGCGGGAAATGAACGGTTGGTGTAAGCGAGGATCATTCGCAACCGGCAGCCTTGTGATACAAGCCGAACTGACCCAAGAGTGTAAATGCGTATAGACCACCATGGGCTAACACCGTAAGACCACCGAACAAAGACGGAAAAGAGGAAGGACAATCGTAAGCTTTCAAGGACCCAAATATAACGTCGTGTGCTGCGAGTAAAAACAATAAGCACAAACAAACAATTTGTGATAGATGACGCGAGTAAACGCTAAGGGAAAAACCGGTACCAGTTACACTGGCGGGAGAAAATAACACTACAGGGAAAACTTTAATCATTGGTAAAGGTTCATATATTTCTGCAACTTTTTAAATTTTGTCGTTATTGCTCTTTTGGATTCAGCAGAAGCAAAAAGAAACAAAGGGTGGTATACTAACCCATCGACATGGAGCCCCTTGCTTGGCTTAGTACGCTTGAGATGCTCTAGTGGAAACAGTTGATTGAGGTTGCATCGGACCGAGAAGACTGGAAAGCTACGAGTGATAAGTTCAGTGCTTCGTCGGAAGACTTCATAGTGTAGTACGTATCTGATGGAGCTGTGGGCCTTGCGATGAAGGCTGGGGGCGAATAGAATGGATGCGGTACCGATGTATCAGGCCGAGCATGAACGACTTGTTCGGCCCAGGGAAAATGAAAAACAGCGTGCTTTCGGACAGCAGAGTAGTGGAATGGTCGGCCGTTCGGCGATCAAATGGCTTATGTCTGAATCCATGTTAACAATAACTAAATGATCGGACGGCTAACCAGACGCCTCCGTGCAGTCTATCCGGGATGGTAACAGCGAGGAATAACATAACCATGGACTCGGTAGGCGTGCATCGGTTAGGTTGGCGAACGAGCACAACCAATGGGATGTCGCTAACGCCAAAGGCCAGTTAACAAGGGCTAGCCAGTGAACGGACAACCGTAAAATACTGTAAGTACTCAATAAATAACCACGAATTTGCTTAATCATGATTCGCCATAGCCGCCCAGACTTACTTGTTGATTCCCGGAGGTCGACAGGATCAAGGCTCAATGTATCGTACAGAGGGCGTCAGTGAGTTTGCCATGGCACTCGACGAAAGATACGCGGCCGTTACTACCAGCACAATGATAGGACCGTCGTTCGCCATTCATACGAGTAAAGTTATCTTATCAATAAAGATGACACGCACAGGAGTTGGAAGATAAACGGAATAGATGGAGCCCTGAACCACACAGAAAAACAAAAATCTTTCCTGGCTTAACGACGTCCTGCGTGTGTCCGCTCAGTAGTTGTCCAAAAAAGTCGCATTGTGAGTGCTGACGATAACTAAAAGAGGTTGAATAAAGTCACCAGGTGGTTTGGATACGGTGCAGCAACATCACACCTCCAACGCTAGCTGGGACACGGCGCTCTCTGTTCCCGTTTTCGAGGCCAAAGCATAACACACAACATTGGTTGGAAACGTCGCCAGATATATCCAGAGCCCGTATTCAATGGCAGTTTTGTTGCCAAGCTCGCTTCCAAAACACTACCCTATCACTTGTATTACAATTGCTTAAATCCCTAGTGTACTACCATAGGCACACGCAAGTCTAATGAAGTGATAATGAATCCACAAAGTAATAAGAAGTTCCTACGCACTGTATGCAGTGGGACGCTGATTACTCAAACATCCCTGCTGCAATGCAAGATAGGATTTGCTGGAAACGATCCGATTTTGAATAACGAAGAGAGAAGACAATACGAACTTAATATATCTTCAAGTCTTTTTAGGGTGATAGAAGATGGCGGCTCAAGACTCGCCACCAGGATGATAAGAACCCTCAGTTCCATCGAGAAATATGTAAATATTATCCAAGCGTTTTATGCGTGTAGATAAGGCAGAATGAGGGCTTACAACAAGCGTTCGCCGCCCTTCAATATCTCAAGCGGTGTAAGACAAGATTGTCAGCTGTCACCTTTCTTCGCCATTGACGAAGTCATGAAAACGGCGTTCGCCGGACACGACATAGGTGTGAAGCCGTTCCCTGATGTACGACTTCTCGACTTGGAGTATGCTGACCGACATAGAGCTTATCTGTGACAGCTGTCTAACGTACCAAGCTGCACTAGAGAAATCACCTCTGGCTGTCAGTCGTTTCGCGCTATGCTTCGCACCATCGAAATGCAAAGTCCTTCTTCAAGATTGGAAAGGACACACTTCTGCACTGACCATGGGCAGTGATCATTTAGAAGCCAAGAAATTTAACTGCCTGGGCAGATAAATCAGAACAAGTGGAACAAAAAATGAGATCACGAACCGTATAGAAAAATCTCAATGCGCTTTTGCTAATCATCCTCATCTGTGGCGCCAGCGTGAGATTACTCTCGCTCTGAAGGGCAGATATTCCAGTTTAATTGATCAACTATCATCCGAGCACGGAAGTGCGGTGGATCCAGTTACTACGACTCACATCGCAAGAATAACAATAAGTAACAACGGCAAGGTAGTGAAGTTAAGAGCAAATATAATGTAAATAAAACGAACACAAAAAGTGCGGTTAACTAATTAGAAGGGAGCGAGCATAAAAAACAGATGAAAGAAAGCCACCGACTTCGTGACTCCGACATGTCTGATCCGATCGCCAACCATTGGTGTGGATCATCCCGAGGCCCCTATCCACGAAGAAAACAGTACGCACCAGCCTGACCAAGTCGCTCAGTCAATTTATTTATGCCTCTATGCCACGTCATGGACTGGCCACCTCTCAGCTTCGCCCAACTTGGTGCAGCCACGAGGTATAAGGCACGCCGAGGAAGTCGGTCAACGGGTATACGAAGGACATGACCCAATCAACGTAAGCGATTAAGATTAAACAAACACTCGAGTGAGGCATCAAAGGTTCCTTGCAAAAACCAACTGGCAGACCTCAGTATCGCACACCCGGTGTTCCCACCAGACGTGAGCAACACTTCGCAAGCACCAAGGTCAAACACAGTCAAGCGTTTAATGTCTTCATTACGAACTGGCCAGTTTCTCCGATCCATACAGTAACACTGGCCTTATCGCAGCGTTATACACCCTACCTTTCATTGACAAGCTTATATCCCGCGGTCTCTATAGATGCCTGAGCATCTGGAAAATCACACGGTTTTGCGGATTCGCGAAGTAACTTCCACAGTGATGTGACCACCAGAGGTGACAAAGATAAATGAACCGATCCACCACTTACAGTGGCTGTTCGGAAATCACAAAATCGGAGGTGTGTCCGCCCAGTACTGCAATAGAACTTTTCACTTTGAAGGTGCAAAGCACATGCCGAAGCATGCGGCGCTACGCACAAACCTGTGCAGTAGTGTTTGCACAGTCAATGCACCAGACTTAAGGAGAACTATGACGTTCGCATACTCCAGGTTTGTGAGTCGGTCATTTGGTAGAACATCCACTGCGGTAAAGTTTGAAAGAACGGAGTCACTCATGATCATTTCGATAACAAATTTGAAGAAGAAAGGAGATATAGGACAACCCTGATGAAACCACTTGTCACGAGAGAGGGAAGTCAGGAGAAAGTTTTCCGTAGACCCTTATACGGCCTCGGGAATCACGGTAGACAGACTTAAGAATGGAAAGGAACTTAGCCGGCATGCACTTCATGGATAGGCAGTGCCACAAGCTGGCGCAGTCAACAGAGTCAAAGGCAGCTTTCAAGTCAAGGAAGACTCCCACTGTCAGTTGTATGTATGTGTGTCTTTGCTCCAACACTTAGCGAAGAGTAAATATGTGGTTGATACAACGACGATCAGAACGGAAGCTAGCCTGGCTTTCAGTAAAGGTTCTTACGGAGGATGATACCAGTGAAAAGTTTGGATGCAATGGAAACGAGGCTGATATCTCGGTGATTTTCGCACAAATTACGCCACCCCTTCCTGAAGATGGGCACGACGTTTGACAGTCGCGATTCTGCAGGAACACATACATTGCACCAAATCGTGTTAAATAGAGTAGAGAATCCAGTCAACAAAGGGCAGCGTTTACAATGTAGCCGTTCGTGCAACCCTCCTGTACGCTTGTGAAACCTGGACAATCAAGTTAACAAACATAAAAAGCTAGCTGCGTTAAACTATCACTCCCTTCGCAGCTTAGCTCATGTCTGGTGGGAATACTGCGTGAGCAACGACAATGTCCGGCGCCACGTATTTAGTGTAGGAAAAGTGAGTGAACTGCTCAGCACCGTTATACCACGCACCAGGCTCCGATGGCTGCATGCCACTCCATTGGCTCCTGCAACGCGCGATGTTTGCGAGACCGGGGTCTGGATGTAAGAAGAGAGGAGGCCAAAGGATGACTTGGTCAAGAGAAATGAAGCTCTTCACTTCGAAGTTTGCGTCAATTGGTGTTTCCCGACTGCCTGGCTGGGGACCGAAGGATGACGAACAGGTTTGGTTGGATGCATTACCTGATGTGGCAAAGAGTCGACTGCAATGGCGTTTGTGTTGTGAGTCTATTTGTCAATCCCCTTCATCTTCCCCTCACCCAAACAATGATCACAAATGTGAGATTTGCATGATATTACTTCTTATAGCTTTGAAGTCCAGTGTTTAATGTTTTACCTTTTCGTATTACGGGACATTAGCTGACGTGTGTTTCTCACCATCGGCTAACGTGTATTGATGATGACCAAAAGATGATAAAAGGGTCCTCCAGATGAGTAAAAAGTCCTAACTACCCGAGTCCTCTTACTTGAAAGTGGTGAACTGGGGCAGGAGGCTTGCGGTATATTTTACGAGAAAGACAAAGTTCATCCTAGGAGAAGGAAAGATGGAAAATATCAAAAAATAGCTGAAAACATGAAGGAAATATCGGTGGTATGTGTGGTTAGGGGGGGGATAATCTTTGGACACATCGAAAATGTTACTGGACAGTCAATGAAGAAAGTCGAGTGGTACGCTAATTATGTGGTGAACGGAAACCCTCCATGTAGGACGCCCAGCGTATGGAGGTATCAAGCCATTGCACAGAGTGGACTGGATCTAAAAAAGCGAGTGTTCTCAGCTGCTGAACGTGCAACGCGTGATAGCTCCATCGAGCGCGGTTCGGACCCAAATCCAATCGGTTTCCGTCGTCTTCTCGAAGGTTTAAGGTGGAAGCGTCGGCGGTAGTTGGTGTGACCACACCGACGTGAGCCAAGTTGTAAAAACTACCCGTGCCGGAATCGAACAGTGAGAGAAGAGTAGACAATGATGTCAAACCACTGGTCCACAGGTGATTGGCATAGGTTTTTGATTGAGCATCAGGATCTACCTGGAAAAAGAAATCAGCAAGTAGAACAAATGAATGAGACCATTTTAGGTTAAAAATCGTAGGATAAGCTCAGAATACGGACCTGGGCAAGATCGTATAGACCAATCAGAGAATAGATGAATCCGTTTAAAACGTGGTTGCCTGGATCCGATGGATATTCTTCGAACCACGGGAAAGAACGCTGTCCCAAAACATACGCCAAAATGCCACCTTCACGTACTGTGCGGTTATAGCTTATAAGAGCGCGACGAGCCCTTTCCAAATAAACTGGAGTTTTGAGAACAGAATAAGCTCGAACCAGAAGCGAAATTCCATGACCTGAAGAAAGAAATAACAGAAAGCAGGGCATTCGCAATGTGAAGCAACAAAAGCCACAAACGGTACATCAGAAAACAAAATCTCTACAATGCGTGTTGCAGTAAGGAACTCAAGACAGTCCTAAAAAGTCGCAAAAATGGTTTGATGTGGTCTATGAGTTGGCTGGGGCCCAAAATAATGAGCCCATGCGGAAGAAATGGTCCCCAACCTAAACAATGCGTGGTCACAGATGCGTTTCGATGAAGGCGGTGCCATAACGTTTACGAGAGAAGTAAATCAGCCGTAAATTCAAACCAAGGACTCTTGTATGTGAAGACAGAACCCACTACAAGGTAGGTCGGAGCACTGCCAAATGTATTCACAGCCAAGGAGGAAAGATGACGGCAATCGGAAACAAGGACCGCATCAAAACCAACTGTGCATGAAACGTGACCGAAAGGATAGTTTAAGACAAAGATAGCTATACCTCACCCTTAACACTAGGCTCATCAGGTTAGGACAGTCGGTACAAAGTACCTGAGCCAGTGAGCATTAAACTACTACTAAGACCACCGAACAAAGCGTGACACAGAAACTAAAAAAAATAGTTTTGAATTCTGGATCTGTGGCCAAGTGGTTCAAATCAAGTCAAAATAGGCTCTATACACCTAAATGGGTGCATCATCAGCATTCACGCTATTACCAAGGATACACTGAATGAATGGGACCAGATAAAAATACAAAAATATAGATTGAAGAATGAAATAGACAAAGGTATGCAGATGTCATTCAAGTAACCGCATGCGCGAAGCATTTGTGACTTTTATAAGGTCGACAAGAAGGCGTGACAAATAAGGCAAGATTGTGTTACGATACGAAGAAGTGCGAGAAGAAAATCCTAAATTCCGTGCGTGTAGGAGAGACAGGTAACGTTTGTGAGAGAGCATAATGTAGCGGACGAGAGAGGTCACAGAAGTAAAATTCAAGCAAGCGTCGAAATGCTTACGACTAATAAAATCAACTATGGAATCTCTAGGCAAGCCACTAGATCGGAAAATATGTTTAATCGATCGCACAATCAAAACGTAGTCCTTTTGAAGTAGTCCAGGGAACATTACTAGGGAATAGTACAACCAGTGGGGTAGTATACATGCAGCTACAAATCTCAAAATGAAGCTTCGCGGTACGGATAATTTCTTGAATTGGAAAGCATAAAAAGATAACCTGACCTTATGAAAAGTCGCCCAAACGTGTATGCACCAAGAGAGATTTTGTGAAAAATCGACATCGAGATATTTGACAGTGGATGAAATAGGAAAGGTTTTGTCCTCCAAAGTTAAAAGAGGAGCTGCGTCCAAAAGTACTCACAATTTATCAGGAAGGAAAAATAAAATTTTTACATCAGTACATTTCATAACATTAAGGTTAAGGGACCTGGTTGATGACCAACTCACAAATGCATCTAAACCACATCGAAGTGTAGACGTCTCAGTGATCGGAAATCTGCACTCCCAAGACAACGTCATCAGCATACTTACATCCAATGAATATTGTTGGTATGGGGAGACTTTCGACAAATAAAGAGAATAAAAGGGGTGCGAGGATCGCGGCCTGCAAAATACCAGTCAGCGAGGAGCATAAAGGAGCTTTTGCCGTTTAACTTGGTAAAGTGCAAACGATCGGTGAAACAGTCAAGCAACAAGTTACAAACATCAGGGTGGACTTCATTCAAATAAAGTAGGTTAAGCAGAAGTGATTGACCAAGACTCCCAAAGGCAAGTGAACAGTCAACAAAAAGTCGTACGGACCAGCACTTCTTACCTAGCGCATAGGCTATTGAATACACAAGGTAGGAGACAGCATCAAGCGTGGAGCGCTGGAGTCTAAACGCAAACCGGTAGACATCATCAGCATGAGTGGCTGTGGAGATCTGTGGAACTAGTAGGACTTTTAAGAGCACGTAAGTACAAGAAAGAGACCGATACTTTTGAGGTTCCCTATTAGGAATTGGCGTTATTCCGGCTGACCTCCAGATGTCGGGGATGACAACGATCGCGAGACACTTGTTAAAAATGTCAGTCAGGGGTAATGTAAGGGAATTGGCGCACTGTTTCAAAACCACGGGTAATAAACCATCAGAGCCACTAGCTTTAATCGTATTTAGCTTCTTGAGTTCACTGTGGACAGCAACTTGATCAACTAAGGAGGCTGGGTATGACAAAGTGAAGGAGGGTAATAGAAAAGCGCTCGACGGAGAGGAACTAAACTCAGAACTGAGTTTGTCAACATCCACAATTCTAGTACTTCCGATGGTACTTTTGCCACAGATTTGCTTCAACAGTCTCCAATGATTCAGGCAGTTACGCTTTCCCAGTATCGTTTCGAGGTATAAACTGTTTAGTCTTGTGGTTTCAGCTTTAATTTGTAAAAGTCAAGCTTTTGACTCGAGTGGTCATTTTAAGCTTGTAAGCACGCTCTTTTTTCCTTCGACGTTGTTTCAGTAGGGGTGACAATAAAATCCATATGCTTGCAGATAGATTGTTTCGATAGGGCAGCATAGGTAGAAGCAGAAGTTTACTTAACCCGCGAGAATCGCGTTAAACCGATAGACCTTCATCAGAAAAAATGATAAATCAGTTAAGGAAAGCGTTTCTTGAACTCGTGCTATATTTTCCACTGAGCAATCGCGTCGTCGGATAGTCCTGAATTGTCGTTTCCTTAATGCGGCATAGTTAGTTCTACTGTAGATGGCAGGGCAAAACTTTAGTGTATACCATAGTCCGAGTTGCTTAGTGGTGGACGCTTATGAATGGAAAACAAACGAACTTTGTATGTGTAAGCAACCTTAGGCTGTGCGTTTTGTCTGGTCGGGAAAGTTACTAAATTTGACCGATCAAGTGACTAGAAGAACGTTGTATCACATTTATTAAAGTCACAAGGAAGAACGCAGACAGAGCATTCTAGTTTCGGCAGAAACACCAAAGAAAGGTGCTCAACTAAAAGCTTCAATTCGGACGAGGATGTATCAGGGACAATGTAGTAGTTTCCGATAACAACGGATCGAAAGGCACTGAGAAATTTAGGCTTACATTCGAGTACATGACAGCTAATAGGAGTTGTACAGTGAGTGAATAATTGGCCAACTGAGTCGCACCAATCGGTTAACGTACGTGATGACACCGCCACCACGATTCCTTGGCTTACCTTGGCGATCGGAGCTTATCGCATGGTATTCACCGATGCGAATTACTCTATCTTCAATACCATTGTACAACCACCTTTTTTGTAACGTAATAATACGTGTGTTTATAGATTCCTTTCGTTTTATAAGGGCTGTAAGGTCAGTGACGTTTCCGAGCAAAAGCGCACATTGCTGGATAGGATGAGTGGTAATTGCATTTACCGCAAAGGGCATCGTCAGAGATCAACTTTCCAACCAGCGCGATATTTCCTTATGTTGCCAGTATGTTTTCTCATAATTCGTTTAAAAGTGTCCTTGGCTTTATGACCGTAGTTGACGAAAAGCTTTTTAAGTGTCGCACTTCGAAACGATTCCAAAAGATAGGCAGAGTATGATGACATTGGTAACTAGAACACGTTCAGTTAAACAAAACTGATAAAGTATAACAACAAAAGTTATAGATCCGCAGTAGTTAGTGTAAAATAAACGATGTTCCAAGAGGCAACAACAACGGCCAATTCGAAGGCTATCGGCGGTCAATCACTATATACACATAAAAAATAAACATGTGTATTTACAGACGGTATACGACTTCTAAGTATGAGCGACCATTTGTACCTAAGAATAGTGTTGATTTCCGTGGTTTAAAACAGTATTTCTAATCATGAATTTGCTCACAGCCAAAGGTGACGACAACAATCATACTAACTCAAGATTTAGCGGAGACCAAGGACCTGTGTAGTAAATGATCATAGGACACTTTCCAGAGCTAATCTGTCCTTGTTCGGTAGTTGGCTGTGAATGATAGTACAATACTCCAGATTAAGTCTTACGATGATTATGAGTAGCTCAAGTCGTGTTCCACGTAAGAAGAAAGTTCCGGTGATGTAATCGGATAGCTGCCTGCCTTTAGCGACTTATTAGTGCATTTCAGAAAAATTAAAAGAACTGGAATACATAATTTCAAAGTCCTGAACTGAGTCAGAAAATGGGATTACGTTACCGGCAAGAGGAATAAAGCCTTCTGGAATGCGACATTTGTAGCCAAGTACCTGGGATTTTCTTGCGGTGTGATTCACTAGCAGGAGCCCGCTCCATATATTCAGTGCGGAGAGTTCTTCACGCATTATTCTCAAGCTTAGTTGTAATTGGTCTAGTAGACCAGTTTGAAGTCATCCGCAAACTGAAATGAGCGTCCATGTTTGATGGGTTCGCATGCGTTGTTTGCATAAGTTAGGTCCATCAGATCAACAGACATAAATAGGCTTGTTACGTTCGATCACTGCTACCTTAGTAGGTTAGCCCATGTCTGGTGAGAACATCGTGTGAGAAACGAGCGCGTTCTGTGTCTCGTATTTGGTCCAGGAAGAGCAGGTGAACCGCTCAGCATGGTTGTTTCAAAAACCACGATGACAGGGTCGCGTATTGCGCATGCCAGCACACCGACTCCCGAAACGTGCACTGTTTGCGCTACCGGGGTCCGGAGAGGAGGCCGCGCGATGAATTGGTCGAGAGTTATGAAGACTCTCACATGGAAGTTGGGGTCAGTTGGTGCATCTCGACTTCCGGGTGGGGGTCCCAAGGACGATGAACACGTTTCGTTGGACACACTGGTTGATATGGCGAAGAGCCGGCCCCGGTGGCGTTTGTGTTGTGAGTTTTGCTGTCCCTCCCCCTTTCAGCCATGTTCTCACAGGTGACGCGTAATACGACAGTAAGCATCATATCATGATTTTGGTTTTATGTTGTTTTCTGCAAAGTTCTGTAACTCCGTTTTTTTGCACATATCTTATCGTTTTTGTATTGCGACACACTTATGATGACGTAAATTATGAGAAGTAGCGGCCCATGTACACTTCTCTGGAAGACACTGCTGGTTATTCGTTTTGGTGTAGATAATTGCTGATCCAATCAAATGATGCGTTCGTTCTCTTGTGTATGAGCCGAACCAGCTTAGCAGAGGATTTCCAATGGCATATGACGCTAGGATGGACAACAGTGGCTTGTGTGGCACACAGTCGAATGCCTTTTGCATATCAAAAATAATTATCACTATCGGCATTCCCATGTCCATTATAATCGTAATATGATCAGTTCCATATCCAGCTCCGGCTATCTCGCTCTAAAAGGTCCAAACACGGATAAAGCCGGTGTTGGGAGCGAGCAGCGCCAAAACTCCTCCACTTCGGATACGGTCCCAATGATTGAATGGACGGAGGTTTACTACAAAGGTCCCAGTACAGATTGAGCATCAAAGTGAAAACACGGGGGTGCTCAAAAAGCAGGAGTTAAACACAAAGGAACCCGCCTTCGACCGGTGCAAACGAGCGATGGAAAAAGGATTGTGAACGGGCGGTATGGAATTTAGTTGAGAAAGTTTAGCGGTGCAAACCAGTCGGTATATAAGTGGACACACAGTAACACCACACAAAGGAAAATCCGTTGCACAAACCTTGCGCCATGGCTGATGGCCAACCAGGTTTTAGAGAAGGGCGCCTGCGCAGATGATGAACAACGGGGATTCGCCACGTGCCATCCTCTTCCTGATGATCGACGAACCATTTGACTGCAGCCAGAAAGCGAGTGTGGTGGAACAGGCGTTCCGCCATCAAATCGACCGAGGAGAGCTTGGTGTCATGTGGAGCAGATTTTCCAAGAAGCATTTTGCTAACATAGCCGCCGCCACCAGAGCCATAAGCTCCGGCATGGAGTTCAATCAAATCCACAAACACAAGGCTTGCGATGGAGAGAAAGGAGAAATGTCAATTCAAGTTTTCCGCCTAGATAAAAAACGAGGCTGGTAAGAATAGCATGAAAGAAAACCGCAGTTCTAATCCTGTAAAAAATTGCTCTCGGAAGAAATCAAATCTAACAAAACGACAAGAAGAAGCTATACTGGAAATTTGCTTCACAGTCGTGAAGAAGTCAGGTGACATCGTGATTACAAGCATATGGCCAGAAAAGAGATACACACCTTAACGGCTGCATTCTAATGTCAGACATAAACCAGGCAATAGATTTTTGGAAAAAAACACGTGTATCTCAGCTGGGTTCCAGTAGACATTTCGAACGACAAGAACATTCGTGAAGCATGTTTCTTGAAATAACTCCCTGGTGAGCAACAGGTCCCCAAATGAGATCGTAGAATAATTGTTAAACTGCACCCGCTGTCAGTGTGCTGACCAAGTTAGAATATTTCATTAAGGCAGTAAGGAGACATAGGTTGCGATATGTTAACATTTTGATTGCTCACGTCAGTCGCTACGCAATACAGGCAGAACAAAACACGCAATAAATAGGGTCCACACTTAGTAACATAGATAAGCAGATAAAACTGATGAGAATGAGGTAATCAGGTCCAAGGCAATCTAATTGATTGCCTCAATTGTTTCTGGACACAGAGCACGGGACAATTCAACCTTATCAGTAGCGCCTCGCCGACTGCCAACAACGTCGGGTTGCCGTTGCGCAATAACACCTTGAATGAATCGATTGGGTTCACCTGGTGACGAGTCGTCATGAGGTGTTTGGTGATAGACGAGGCAGGATTCCGGTTCATAGTTTGGTCCGCTCCGCCTTGGTTAAACAGCAACTGTCTTTGCCACAATGGGAAGTGTTCCGCCACCCTTTGAGCCAGCCGGCGATCAGTCTTGCCTAGGTAAGTGTCACCGCAACTGCAAGTGAACTGGTAGATGATATTAGAGGCTGAACTGATTGGTGAGCTACTCGGACGGCTCTAGAGAGGAATCCCTCGTGTAGTGTGGATAAGTCGTAGTTGGGCGGTAGAGTAGGTGCGCGTTAGATCACTCCACAGATCCCAAAAATGAACGCATATATCGCAGTTCACCATCCCAATACGGGCGACCAGTAAATAAAGAGTCTAGTGAAAGGATTTTCTTCAACGAACAAACCGATAAGCGGCACATGAACGTAAGAATTTAATGCAGTAGTGGTGGACTAACAAGAGCTTAGGGTAAACTCACATGGAATCCAAAGACTGAGCACTATTTTGATCGTTGGAACTTGGGAACGGCATAAAGATCTCTTGACCGAAAGCTTTGAGCAAATCATAAACAAGATCACGAGACAACGTAACGTTGTGTTTGGAGTTGCTTGAATCGGAAAGCATTCCACATGATGGCATCCAAAATACAGCGGAATTTTTGTCATGCGAAACGGAAAGAAAAAGATCCTGGAACATGAAGGAAATGCGACAATGGGAGAAAAATTGGAAATATAACAATGAAGATGATAATGCTCCAAATAACGAGTAGATATGGGGACAGTACGAATTAGTGACGTACTGGGAGCAATGATTGCAATAAGTGCTTGAAAATCCAAATCCATATTTTCAAAAAGGAAGAGCACCACCATCATTATTCTACACTACGACCAGATATAATTTCATCGGCTGCTAGGTATGAGACAATAAGAGAGCACAGTGATAGATAAGAGTGGGGATGCAAGCAAATGCAGTGTGCTGGAAGTAGAAAAGTCGCAAAACTCGGTCCTTCAGGGACAAACGGTTTATGCAGAAAAGTGAGCTCAGTAAAAATGACAGCCTGACCAACACGCAGCAACCTGGATAAAAATAATTAAGTCATTTTCACAACTAACGACCCTGCCGCATTCATAGGTTCTTCCACTGAATCAGTTAAACAAACCCGCTCCAGTGAATCAATCAGCGGGTAGGCGAAATATGCACAGGCGTCCAAGCAACTGCTATGTTCGTTTGCGGTACGCTAGTCACTTGCTTGCACAATCCTGTCACATCCTTTTCTTTTTCGGCATCAGTTGCATCGGTGTCACAGTAGACTCCGTACGCTCTTCCGCTCCGCGTCGTCTTTTCTGCCTCAGTCGTCGTGACCCATCCGTAAGACGTTAAGTGTTTTGCTGCAGGTTCTCCTTCTCGTTCCCTGTGTCGCCTCAGCTGCACTCGGTTCCTTCTGACTACCTACCCTCCGATACTGACTTCATAAGATCTTTCTCCAGCCTTCGTGGTCACCACACCTTTCTTCCATCGTTCGCTGACACCTGGTATTGTTTGGATCCACACTTCATCATTTACTGATAGCTCCGGTAGCGCCCGCGTCCCGCGGTCACAATACCGGTTCTGATTTGTCACCAGTTTTCTTAAGCCCCTTTGCAGTTACTCAGGCAATGGCGAGACAGCGTGTAAGAGTCCAGAAGTCGCAGGCATTACGATTCTTGTCCTTCTGTTGTACAAACGCTATACTGGACTGAGACTGATGTTCGGTAATGGCATATTGCGAATCTTCAACAACATTAGATACAGGTCCCCATGAGTGGTTCTGGCTTCCGACAACAATCACTTGGCTTAGTTGAACGCCGCCCTGCTTTTCTGTTAGACGTACTGTGATATGGGCTAGTTTGTCAATGCGAAAATTCCCACTTGATCGTGAAGGTCTGGAACGCAGCACTTGTAAATTGTGAGCCATTGTCGGAGATAAGCTTCACCGGTATTCCGTGTCTGACGAATTGACATCTAAGCATATTGATGACTGCATCCATCTCAAAATACTCACTGTAATAGTCCACAGATATTAACTAGCCTTACCCGCTGTCACAGTACAAGTCCACCACTACTTTCTGCCACGGTCGATCTGGAATCTCACGCAGCATCATTAGTTCCCTGCCTTGGCGAGTTTCGTGGGACCGGCAGGCTGAACAGCTTGCTCCATGGTCTCAGGTGTGACTTGTCATCCCGGGCCAGAACATCAGTTCGCGTGCTCTACTAATACTATAGTCGACGCCCAAAAGGGCTCGATGAGCGTGTTCTAGCATTCCTTTGCGAAGCAGCGGTGCGATCAAAATACGATTCGCTTTGAACAGCAAACAGTCATACACCGTTCGTTCATCCCGAAAGTTGAAGAATGCCGTTAGTTCATTCGGAAGTTTATCCTGTGTATCTAGTCATCCTTGAAAATCAGATCGCGAAACGCCACGCAGGATGTGTCTACCTCCGTATGACGTTTTATCTCTTTCAGGCGATCTGTCTTTACCGCCGGACGTTGTAGGAGAATGACTGCCTCGAGTTCTTCCTGTTGGTGCTCGACTATCGGAAGATGAGCTCTCGACAGAGCGTCCGCGATGAACATTTGCGTCCCCGGAGTGTACACCAGATCCATGTCGTATTTTTGGAGCTGGATAAGCATCCGTTGAAGACGTCGAGGGACACTGTGTAACGGTTTACTAGCTATTGACACGAGCGGTTTGTGGTCAGTATACACTGTAGTCTTCCTTCCAAATGTGTAGTTGTTGAATCGCTCCGTTGCGTAGACGATAGCGAGCATCTCCTTTACACCACTGTGAGCGCTCAACTGCGGAAATACAAGGGTGAACCATTCAGCAGGAGAACGGCACCTATTCCGCTTTGGCTGCTATCCTACTGCACCCTTAAAGGTAGAACTGGATCATAGTAACCAAGTACTGGTGCACAACTGATAAGACGCTTGATGGTTGTCAAGGCTGACTCCTGCTCTTCTCCTCAACTCCACTTTACACCTTTGTGAGTCAGTCTCCGGATATCTGTCATGCTTTCAGTAAGTCTTAGCAAAAACCGGCACAAATAATTCACCATGCCATTTAAACGACTAACAGTCTTGACGTCCTTAGGTTGTGGCATCTTCTGCAAAGCCTTGATATTTCAGGGATTGATCTTTATTTCCTCGGAAGTCAGAAGGTGCCCATGAAAAAGCACTTCAGACCTCCGGACCACAAGTTTTTCGCGTTTAAGCCTTATTTGCTTTTGAACGCAACGCTCTAACATTGGTGCAGATTGGCGTCATGTTCCTGGTCGGTTGAGCCGTAAATCAGTGCATCGTCTACTACGCACGTTACACCGTCCAGGTCATCAACAGTTTGCAGTAGCCGCTTTTGAAAAATTTCGCTCAAAACTTTCAAACCAAACGGTAAACGTAACTAGCGAAAAGGTCCCAAGGGTGAAGCAAACGTCGTCAAGAAACTGGGTTTCTCATCTAGGAGCAAGTGCCAGAACGCCGATGAGGGAACAACCTTGGTGAAGCACTTCGGCTTAACCAAACGCGGCAGGACATCTAACATCGGCAATGTATAGTATTCTCTACGCAAAACTTCATCCAACAGCTTAGGATCTATACATAGACGTAACAATCGCGACCTTGCTAACCCAGTTTGTCGGCTTGTCGACCTCAGCTATTACGCCCAATTGTGTCAAGTTCCTTAATTCGGTGGTGAACATATCACGTAATGCAAACGGAACCCTTCTACCTGGCAGCGCAATCGGTCGTATTGATGGATCTATTGACGAATGAACGGAACCTTCAAACCTCCCAAAACTTGGGTTAAACACTAACATCTGCCTCCGTTTCACATACATGTACAAAACGGTCGTGGTTAAAATGAATAAAACCAAGACATCAAAGCCGAGAATTGGCGTCAGCCCTTCCTTCGCGACCACGAAATCCAAATGATGGGAACAGCCGTCTTTGGGATTAATAACTCTGATCGTGGCCAAACCTTTCGGCTAGAGCTTGGAACCGTTCCACATGCACAGGAATCGCTGATCAGATCGCACACGAATTCCTGGGTATCGCTTAGCTGGAACTGTGTTCATGGTGGCATCCGAGTCGAAATAGAAACGCACCATCGCGTCACCAACCAATAAACTTGTATAGGCGCACTTCTTTGGTCCTATCTGCGACACGCTGATTGCATGGTTTTATACGGGTATAAATGCTAACGCTTAACATGTCACGTAGAACGGTCGTGGTGAAACCACAGAAAAGCAAAATAGAGTTTACACAGTGAACTCCCTGAAGTATACGTAGTACAGACTGTAAATCCAAGGTAAATCCATCGGAAGTGACGGCAAATGGGATGTTGGTAAAAATCGTGTCTCCTTCTGGTGTACGCATACATGAGACGAAGAAGTGGTACGAAATGTTGGACCTGACAGCCAGTGAAATCTCTTACCGGCACTTGTGTTTATCCATGCGTATTGGGTCATGTAAGATGGTGCAGCGAAATAAGAACACGGTCAACTCGGAGATTTGAACTCTACCAACGTGGGAACACATATGACAGATTTCGGTATGGCATTCCACGTACTGTAAACGAGTACGGAAAAGAAATTCCGACGGCATTCCAAGCGACTGTGTTGCTCTGCCAGTTTGAGATGGTAACCTCTCAAATTACTGTTGTGACTGAGCTCTAGCAAGTAACGGCACACGTGGTTGGGATCTCTCAAAATTTGGTAAGTCAAAATGAAGTCCCCGCGCAATCGCCGATACTGTCTGCTGAAAATCCCGAGCACTTCTAGCCTGCCTTCATACAGCAAATTATACAGACCCTTGACATTTCTCGATTGCCCGGCGTTGGGATATCTCCAAAGCGGTCAGACCTCTCCTCAGCCATGACCGCCAGAGCTGTATTGAGTATTCCACATGTGGCCGCATGCATGAGCCGACAAGGTGTGGAAAAAGAGAAGGGTCGAATCGTCAGAATGCACTATTCAGGAGGTCCACATGCTGGATTTTCTCCTTGACGACTTTTCAGTCTGATTCGAATATCCAAAATCAAACAGCACAAAAACTTCCAGAACATTCTCGCCAGAAAACGTCTGAAGCTCCTGGTTGCCGAGTTTGTAGGGATGCACTAATTTGTGTCGTAATTGAAGCACTCTACATTTGTCCACATTGAATTGAAGTAGATTCTGGATTGACCACGCGTATACCCTATCCAGATCGGCTTGAAGTACTGTGATATCATCTGGTCTATTGACCGCCCTCCACACCCTGATGCCATCGGCATACAGAAGACAGTTCGAGCTTATGAGGCCTGTGATATCGTTAGCATATGTAAAAAATAATCGCGGTCCATGTACTGGTCCCTGTGGGACTGTGCATTCAACTCGGATGGGATCTGACAGCGATTAAAGCACTGGTACTTCCAGGCACAAGTGTAAAAGAAAGCTTCTGATCCATTCTAGGAGAGGATCACCAATATCAAAGGTCTGAAGAGCAAAATGTTATGGCCTAACCGATCGAACGCCTTTGAGAAGCCGACAAAGACCACATCAACCATTATGCCAGAGTCTACTACTTCAGTCCAGCTGGATCGTGTTAGTAGTAGATTTGTAGTGCAAGATCGACTTCGTCGGAAGCCATGCTGTTCCGGTTCGAGTAGGCGGTCAACGCATCAGAAATAATAGCCTCCATGACCTTTGAAAGAAACGACAGTAAGATTATGAGTCGGTATTTGGCTGGATTGAAACCACTACCTCCCTTGTGAATAGGCGTAATCATCCCGTGTTTCCACATATCAGGCGCGTACATTTCGTTAAAACAGTGTTGGTAGCATCGAGTCAAAGGCTCAGCTAAACTCTCTCTTACCGCGGCTACAGGTTTCGTGTACACATTATCAACTCCAGGAGGGTTGTGATTGTGCATACTCAACAGCTTTTTTAGTACAGCTTCTGCTGTGAAGGATATGTGAGTGAGTTTTGGGGGTGAAACAAACATCGTCAAAGAATTAGGTGGCCTGTGATTGCGCTGTAATGTTGCAGCATATCGTTGGCATAGGGCATTAGCCGCCTTTTTCGGTGTCTGTGTGGGTCTGTTCGCTGTTTGAAGAGGAGGAATTCCCTGGTTCACCTTACGTAGACTGTTGACGTGTTGATACAGAAGCTTGTGGTCTGATGCCATACACACTGCTAACTCCTGCTGGTAAGCCATTCTATCCTCGCAGAAAAGCTGAGTATAGTGGTTACGTTGGGTCGGATAGACCATCCAGTTCGGTGCCCGGGGAAAGTTTGTAGATATACCAGGCTGAGTATCGCATTGATATACACAAGCGTGTGCTGCTTCGCAGAAACGAGACCATGTTTCTCGGACAGATGGTCTTGGTCGCTGATGCTCTGACAACCAAAGAGTTAAACTGGTTGACGAAATGGGTGGTAGCATATAATAGTTTTGCTGCATCGGTGATTTCCACGGGATATTCTGCATAGCAAATGTATTCGAAGAGTAGGACTACATGAACGCTGCGGCCCAGTAGAACGTCGAGGATCACCCTCTCGACCATTAGTTCTTTGTTGGTGAATATCCGTTCCAGTATTAACGGCTTATCTTTTACTCGGAATCGGGTGGGAGTGTTGGTGTGGTCTTTCGTGCGCTACCTCGGTGTACTCTCACGCTAGGACCTAACGTCGATGGACAACAGGAATAGGATTTACCAAAACAGCCTTCGTATGCTTTGGGCGCTCAGGCACAGCTTCAGTACTTGATCCGAAGAGATTGCCACTTGCCTCTTCGTCTCACTAATACGACCAATGATGGAGTATGGCTATCTCGCGTATTGTCCTATCACCCGGGGCGAGGTAGAAAAGCTTGAGCGAGTGTAGCATGTAGTCTCGAGGCTGATTCCCGGTGTAAGAAACTAGGGCTGTACACCCTAACTTATCGTCGAATGAGGGTTGACCTCATCATGACGCACCGGATATTACATCTGGGAGATTACCCCATGTTAAGACCGCTGCTTCATCTGCGCACACAAAGTAGCACATGAGGACACCGGTACAAGCTTGTCGTACCGGATTTGAAGCGGGTCGCTCACCAACTCAATTTCGAAAGCAGAGTGGTGAAGGTATGGAACGGCCTGCCGCAGCACGTAGTTGTGGCAAAGTTGGTGTCGGAATTTAAGAAGTTGTTGAACAAACACTTTGCCGACGCAAAATATATTGAGTGCAACACAACATAACGGGTCTTTGTCCTTAAGTGACATTAGATGCAGCTACACGGAGCAAACTCTACTTGCTGCTTCCAACCAGTAACTAGTAATCAATCCCCGTGTGGTGGTCGTTTGAATTATTTTTGTTCCGCCGACGTTCGCTCTATGGAACATCAGGAAATATACGCATTCCTGTGTTTTCACTCCACAGGTGGTATGCCGACAGAAGCACCGTCTCAACATCATCTATGGAACTCAACATTAATCGCATTAGCCGGGACGCCCCATAATGGGTAGAGGTTGGATGTCTATTGATGCGCATTATGTTAGCCCTACAGGCTTGAACTCCGATTTTATAACAAAGGAAATTTTATTACATCAAATCATTCAGCTGTTTACCGCTTAAAGAGTTTGACTTGGACTCAGGAACGTTGGTGCATATAAGTGTCAAAGCCCCGTAAGCCCGCCTGGTCTTCGGTGATGTGGGAAGTACGATCATCGATGGATTTAGTGACGTCTCTGTAAGTTGCACCCGGCGCTTGACCCGTTTTGTGGCTGTACTAGGTGAGGCTACTGAGGTCGTACTTCGATTATACTGAGCAGCAACGGTTGCATAAGTGGATCGGTCTTTAGAGCGTTTCTGATTTCATTGGTCAATCGGAAGAGTCAGCGTTACCGACGTTGCATCAGTCGGTAGATTGGATAAGAGGATGTGGGCAGTGGGGCTAGGCATGCTTCTATCGGTCGCGATAACAAATTGGTTCTTGGTACCCAAGGTTTCTAGTACTGTGTGGCCGTGTGGACGTTTGGCTCTTTTCCTTGGTTTCGAGACACTAATTGAAGGAGACGGATTAGGTGCAAGATGCGCTACTGTCACCTCGAGTGAAGGAATTTTCCCATATAAACGATGTTCAGATTCGGCGACTAGACTGTCGTACCTTTGTGCTAACGCTAGTACACATTTTACTAGTGGAACGGTTGTGCACTTCGGACAGAACCCGGCGTATTGTAGTTAATTAAGTTGGTTCGATAGATGTTGACGCATTTCGTAAGGCACCGGTCCAGGCGATGTGTGCAAGTCAATCCTCCTTTTACTATCTTAGCATAATCTTGATGAGCACAAAATACTTTGTTTCAGGTTATCGGTGTGGTGGTCATGATGTCCGATTAGCGTAGAACAAATCCAAGTTGGCGGACAGAGACAGCAGTTGGGGCAATCAAAGAAGACTCCGAAGTAGAGAAGATGTACCAAATATGCAGACTGAAAAATATACCACAGAAAATTATTGGTGCACATTGCACACAAGAAAATCACGTGTAACAAAATAATCCCGAAGATAAAGTGGAATGCAGAACGGTTATCCAAATTTCGCAGCGTCCGTGGGTACTTCGGAGGGCGTTGTGTCACGATTGAGTGCATTCACTTACGAAGACTGATGACATCGAGCGAAGTGATTCCGTCTGCTGCATCTGGCGCAAATTTGACCCCACGTCGGACAATGATTGCGATCCCTCGAGTGTCGCGCGGCACAGAATTTGCAAATTTCGTGTATCTTGATAACAAGCTTCGCAGTTTTGTCAGGTAAACTGGATACGGCACATAGGTCTGCTTCAGTTGCCAACCGAATTTGCTGGATGGGTTATGCAGCTGATGATTCACTGTCTGAGCGGTAACTGCCGCGCAACACCGCTGGTTGATGTTTTCATCATTGATCCCCAGCACAATTTTATCTCGGATGAGACTGTCAGTCATACAATTGTAAAAATGGCACGAACGAGCCAGGATCTTCAGCTCCGTAACATAATCCTCGATGGTTTCGTTTGGGCGCCGGTTTCCGGTAAAAAGGAGATACCGCTGATACGTCCCGTTAGTCTGGCCTTTGCAGAAATCACCAAATGTTCGCATGATAATTTCCAGATCAGCTGGGTTATCGTTCTTTTCGTAATGCATAGTTCCCAAGACGCGGTGTGCTTTATCTCCCATTGTATCTCTAAACATCGCCAATCGATACGCCATCGGTTGTTCATTCAAGCGCACCAGCACACAGAAATCGACCCACTTTGTTTTTTCCAGATTCTCCAATTATTGGCCAAAGTTCGTTCTTCCATGTTTACTGGGGCAGGTGGATGCACAGTTGGCTGCACACCAAACAGAAACCGAGTACCATCGGGTGATTTTGCCTTGGTTTTCTCTCATATCATGCCGCAGAACTAGGTCCTTCAGATACAAACGGTTTATGCAGCAAAGCGAGCTCAGCAAAATGACACCCTGACCGACAAGTAGGAACCTGGATATAAATAACTAAGTCATTTGTATAATTAACAACACTGCCAAATTTATCAGACTCTTTTTTTGAATCAGTTAAACAAACCTTCTCCAGAAAACCAATCAGTGCGTAGCCGAAATATGCGCACGCGTCCAAGCAACTGCTCTATTTGCATGTGGCACGCTTGTCCTTTGCTAATACAATCCTATGACAGTGGGGTCGGAAGATCCTTAAACCTGAGGATAATTGCCTTTGGCAGACAACTCAAAACTATAGAAAACTTGGGTGAGCCATTTCAGGACGCATATAATTGAAAGAAACAGTCGCCATCACAAACGCTGATAACACAGCGGAACCACCAGTTCGAGCTAACTAGAGCCGATGTGTAGGCATGAAGTGAGGGCGTGCGCCTCAAGTGTGACCAGCTTGAAATAAAATTACGAATGAATGCAAACAAAAAGAAGTGAGAGATGGCTTACTCGATTTTGGCTGCTTTCAGGAGAAGCTTGACAAGCGTACACGAGCTCCTTAGAAACTAGTTTATCGGAGTGTGTACGATTGCTGCCGCGGAGCCAAGATACACGCAAGTGGACCGAACTGCCGTTGTGCCAGTTGTCACCATAGAGGACAAAATATCTCCAGAGGCGCGTCTCTTCGCCTAACTTCATAGTGATAGCCACAGCCGCATGATGACTGCGTGCGGGTTGGGCGACTAACAGAGAAAACAAAGAGCAACGAATTGGTTAGCAATAAGCCTAATTGACAGTATCCGGATGTATTGGTTAGTAACCACCCCCCAGTGTTGCCAGATTATGGGCAGAGTATAAGACTAAAAATTAAAATTAAAAATAACTCGTCAGAAGAGTTAATGGTATGAATCGCTGAAGCTCTTAATGAGAATACATAAAGAGTAAACAGTGTTATTAAGGAGAACATGCTTATAGATAAACAAATAAGTAAAGTTTCATTTCCGACAATGTGGGACAAATCATTAGAGGCACGATCATGTGAGGTTGGCGCAAAAAATCCAAAATAAGAGAAGCAAGACGGCTACGAAGGACACTGCTTCACGAAAATACACGAGAACGTTAGAATAATCGAAAGCTTCTGCAGGGATATTCAGAAAAGTGAGCACCATGATTACAGTGAAGTGTGTCCGGATGATCACAAGATCAACTGCCAAAATGTAATGGTGAGTGATAAAAGGGAGTAGGTAAATAGATCAGCCACACAGTAAAAACAAAAGCAAGATGAGTGATATAGGGAAAACAGTGCCAAAACAACCGGCCTAAATGGTTGCATCTTTGATACAGCTGAATATGATCAGGACTAGGTTCTGATACTGGCCCCTAACCTGATGGTCAACGTGCCTTGGAACTAATATGTGGCGAGGAACGAGTATAACAGATATGGGTTGTACGTAAAAGAAATGTGACTGAAGGCTTTCAGCCGGTCTTATAGCAAGTTAACGAAGTCCCTCTTTTGTCTTTAAGCTGCGAAAAAAGTTTAACTACAAGTCTAAAATAGCCTCATCCTGCACTGTTCAGGTTAGCGTCCACGTAGTCAAGAAATCTAGAAGCGTTAGGCGGAAGCGGAGAGAAGCAGCGCATGAATGGGCATTTCTGTCAAAGTCCAGTGGGGTGCAATTGCGAGGAGTTTTTAAGAGATCAAGTTTTTACCAGGCGGATGTGGTTAGCGAAATTGGAAGGCTCGTGAATCGCCGTCCAACATGTTGGGAAAGGAGTGCATGAAAAGAAGCAAGTGGGATAGAACTAAGTGATTGCTGTAGCGAACAGCTACAGAAAACCGATTTCTGTAAAAAGGAAAACGTGACTATGCGGCAAATTGCACTTTTATGGAGACAAAAGCATAAGTCGTAGATCGTCGGCACAGATGGCTCTAATTATGGCCAAGTGATCACACGCGCTGATACCAACCCATGGGAATTCAACTGCATAAGACGTTTGGCCTCTGTTTGTGAGGTTGCTTGACCTCTGCTCCAAAAAGTGCAGGACAGGACTTTGCGCACTAAAGAACAGTGGTAGCTGCACAATGGAAACGGCAAGATAATATTCACAGCTGACAAAAGTTGAAAACCTCCGCAGACCGTCCTACCTCAGTGTTACCATTAATTAAAATGCTTCATTTGGATTGTTGCCGGCAGCTTCATTAGAAATGACATGGTTTTCATGAGCATGAGTGATTTAGTCAATTCAGTGCAATCTAGCAGAGTGGATGCACGAATAGATGTAATAGTTACTAACAAACACAACATATTTCCTATACAAAAGCGTGTCTTCTTGGGCAATTATGACCACCGCATTATTCATAAATGTCACACGTTCTAAGTCCAGCCGTGAAACGCCGATAAAGATAAGGGAACTATTAGACGATGGGACTGTTTAATAGACAACACATCACAAACCTTCAATTGACACTACCGATTGGTTTATCAGTCTTTATGCACAAAGAGTTGCCAGCTCAGTGCGAGCACCTTAGGAACTACAGTAAATTACGTTGTGATCAATGTTACCCCGTGGAGACCATCCTATTTGTAAATTGACAGGTTTCATCGCCAATTCGAGGGAAAAAAGAATAGGCGTATACGGGCAAATAAACCTCTATCGAGGAGTGACTATGCCATTTAAGACTGACGTAAGAAAGTTAAACAGTATATGGACTGAGACAGGGAACTCCAATCACCCTGATATGTGCAAGGTTTCGACACAACTGTGGTAAAGACACTTGCAGCCCGCTCCGTAGTGGGAATGCACATTCAACCAAGGCCCAACGCATTCCCAGTTTTATTTATAAGCCCAATTTCAACCATCTTATTTGATCACATCCTGGGAGCTCATACATTTGAAGTCAAACAAGCCTAGTGGTTGGGATGCTCTACCACTAGTCTCTCTGAAGTGATGAGCGGATGCATTGCAGACATCGATGATAATTTTGAACCAATGCTTAGCGACTAGTAGTATCGTATTCGATATCTGGAATGCAACCAAAATAACAGCAGTGTCTGAGGAAGAATTGCAGAAGTGTCATCTGACTGCGTGCACGTCTGCGTTGATAAAGGGACTAGAAAAACCACACAACATCTCATCGTCGTAAGCACTCATACTGATGATGTCGAGCAGTTTGCTCACATGCCCAAGTGCACTACAGTAGACATCGTGTCGTAAGCTGCGCATGTGCAACGGATAAAAAAAGCAAGACTGTGCAGCTCCTGTTCCAGGATTATGCAAATGCCAACGGAAGCCAAAATATTTTGCTCGAAAATGGTGTCCCCCAGACGCATGTAGCGTAATGTGTGTAATACGGAGACGAAACAGCTAACTAAGATAGTGCACTCTGGCAGGGCGAGATTAACCAGTTCACGTGAGCTGCTGACAGACTCGTTGCCATGGTCAAACCGAAAGCTGATGAAATCAGGCCGTCAGCATGACATGGGTTCCTTCTCGACCGGCGGTTACACGGCTAAGTCACGCGGGAAGCTGATGGAATCAGTCAGTCAGTATGAAACAGGTTACTACGTGACAGGACGCGACAGTAGCTAGCCAGTGCGGACAGCAAGCAGGTGTGAATTCTATCCAGGCAAGTGGCTTGTGTCAGCTCAGGAATTTACAATAGGATATGATGCATTGTGACCTATAAAATGAACCGTGTTCTGTGCCTAATACACTTCGGTCTAACAGGATCGGTGTTTTATTTCTTTCCCGGTTGGGTTGGAGCGCAGAGCGCAGGGGCAAGAACAGCGTTACAATGTAAATATTTTACAAATCGTACACGTATCAAGTAGCTATGCAGTAAAAGGTTATCTGTACTCCCGCCTAACTGTGGTGGATTGCAGACGACTACCTAACCCACTTCTATTTTCTATTCCATTTTTACAGGTGCGAATATGTTGATGTGTTTCTAAGGTTCCAGCCAAAGAGATATCTTCGTGGCACAGTGAAGAAGAGACAAACTCGTAAATTTGCCGAGCTCCCGGTTCATTACTAACAAACCCTTTCAAGTAGTGTGACGTAATGTTTTCGTTCCTCCAATCCGATATGCTGTAATCACTTGGGCGTAAGTGATCGTGCAGCGTCCCACCACTTGCTTGAAACATTTAAAGGAGTACGAAGAGAATGCTACATAAAACGGTGTACTTCAGAATGTCTTGACAACACGGACACCGTTAAACACTTATTCTTTTAAGAGCATGAGCATAATTGTACAAACGATCTATCCCATCACAGGGGCGGCCACTCGCGAATCTGAGAAATATTCACATTATTATTATTAACAGTGGTAAAATAAAGACTTTCGCTTTATCCACCGAAGCTCAGCGTGCGTTCCGTACCTCATGTATTGATTTGCAGTGTTGTTGATGCATGTATTCTCCCAAACTGATTATTTTGCCCACCTATCATTTCCCCCAAACGCCTCCAAATGATTACATTCTGCTTGTTTGTTCATTAAGATTCCGTTCCTGATGCTAAGAATGGAATCACTCGCTCATTTTACCGTTAGGAAGCACTTTGGTACATGTAGCAAATTTTCATTCAGGATCCGAAACGATCCCTCTCACTCATTACACACTGAGCACGTCAGCATGTTGGCTCTTCCTTCTAGGTGGTTGATGTTCTCATATCTCATCATATGGTAATCCCGCAGTGACATAGTTGTCACGCTTACTAGTCTATCCAACAACAGTGATGCACACGTCGCCTGAGTGTGTCTTCAATTGAAGGTGAACTACTTCTTCGTATTCCTTGTCAATTTGTACTGTTTCGATTGATGGTGTGTTGCATCCTATCCGAAGTGTGAAAGAAGTCGAAAACAAAACTATATGAGTGTAAAAAGTTTATCTGCGTTTAACGTTCTGGATGCCAAACGAATGTGGTGGCCGTTATTAGTAACGGGATGGAAAAGAGCTGGCTAAGTGGAAATTACGAAGCAGGACGTATGAAAAGCGAGTATGATTTTGTTCTGTTTTCCGAGCCAACAATTGTCCGGACACCGAAAAGCAACGGATCCAGTTGTGACGAATCAAGTCCTCAGCAAGGCTCAATAAGGAGCTGAATGGTCAGCAGTTATGACCATCGGGTTGAAAGCCATGAGAGAGCACAGTATATAGGAAAACAACTGGAATGCACGATATCACCGATCAATCGAATCCAGTCTGGCCGGGCTATCGGTCAGCAAGAACATTAATTATGCCCTCCATCCGTCATAAAGCCCAGGAGAGAGCTTGCAGCAGATGATCATACGGTCGCTGGAGTTTAGGTACTGCAAGAGCAGACTGGAAATAAAATTCCCTGGATCCGTCAGTGATGGACAGTGCATTAATCAGACCCGAAAAGCGGAAATATTGGTCGATAGTATAATGGCTGTGATGGCGACTTGTAAATTGGGTAACCGGAACGGCCAGGAAGCGGCACGAGTAAAGCGAACTAGGTGTAGCCCACAAGATCATCAATGACAACTATATGGCGAGTCCCGATAGGATGAAACAGTAATTCGGACTGTCTGGTTACCAGCAGCCTAAGCAAAAGCACAAAATTCCTCGACCGCTTTTTAATAATCACCAAACGCCTCAACAGCTCACGTGTCAGCATCGGTTTGTGGTGGCTTGCAAGGGAGGTTACAACTATGGAGGCTAACCCCGTCTGTTGCAAGCCAATCACAAACATGATAGCTCGGTTCAGTTCCGTTGATCGACCG